CGAGGGAAGTATGAAGAATTATGCTCTCAAAATTAACAACAAAATTTAAAGTTTTGCTAAACTTCTTTCAATTGTACATGAGAATCGTTTCACCAATAGGATGCTGTAACTATGAAGAGAAATTGCATTGTGCGTCTCATTATTGTCAACGTCTAGAGAAATGACCGAGATTATTCTACAAAGGTCAATGCAGAAACGAGGGTGGTGAGGTTGAATCTTATAATCACCGAATTGAATAGTAGGAAGAAACTTTTCACCAAACTCTCTACCTTTGGTACCATGGTAACATGACTGAAAGGACTGATGGTAACAACATGACTGTAGCTTTGATGAATTAACTTCCTTCCAAGCCAGGAGCAATTGACTGCAACTCCTGAGCTGAATTTCAGAGTGTAAAGTGACTTTCATTGGTTTTTCTCTGCATTTTTGGCTTCATATTTAGATTATTTGAACTTGAATAATCAGGTGGCAGCTGAATTTAATTCTTAGAAAAGCTAGATGTAGTAACCTCCAAACAATTCATACCTTCCACGTCATATACAAAACCAGGAAGCTTCGAAGATCCATCCTGAAGAATTAATACTGAATCGCGAGAGCTAAGAAATCTGTAAAAGACGATCAAACATGAGAAAAGAGCCAGTAATATACGCATAAATGTAACTAAACTGTCATAATACTACTCAGAGCAGATTAAAGAGTCTGCTTAAATAACAAGGTGCCCACTGAGTTATTATAATCATGAAAATTAAATCCTAAAGCATAAATCAAGATAATGAAACTTGATAAATGTAAAAAGATGAGTTGAAACCTAACTGATTTTACGTAATCTCTCCACAAACTGTTTACCTTAACTCTTGTAGCTCCTCTCTTTCCCTTATTTTTGACTTGCAAAAGTTATTTTACAATGTTTAATACTCACCCACAACTTATTACGTACAATAACATCTGCTCAACTGTACACGACTTCATGGTTGTAGCTCGTAAGTTCAATTTCTTTTTTTTTCACAAACGCGGTTTCTCCTGTCGCATTTTAAGCACAAAATTATTTAAATTCTGTGTGAAATTGCTACTGATTATGAGCTCAAAGGGTTAGAAGAATATCATGACCTTTTTAAAACTTTCACATCTACACTTCATTTTATTAAAAAACTGTTCATAGTAATAACGAAACGCTTTAGCGTATCAACCACCATTGGTTTAAGATCTTATTATGAATAGTTAACACGTCTCTCAGGAGCCAAAGGGTGTTTTTACACTACAATTTGTTGAATATTAAAAGTAAGTCCAATCTGTAAACTCTTTGGGACGTATCTTTTCGATACAAGTTTTCGTTTGTTAACTGATAAATATTTAAATGAAATACAGCAGTCTCAAGTCTCCATATTAGCTGGTACTAAGGTTTACCCGCTGCGAGTAAATTCAGTAAATATCAATAAAACCACATTCTCGGCGTCATTAATTAAGCAATTGCCAACCTTTTATACTTCTGCCATTGCCTTTTTACATTTAGCTTTTAATTGAGATAACGAACGATTTCACCTGCGATTCGGTAGGGAAGGTCGAAGCATCATGATAGTCAGCAGTAGGATGAGCAGACAGAAACACTTCGAAAGCAGCTACATGCATAATACTCGGCTTGCTGCACAATATCTACCAAGGTAGTTCTAAAATGCTCTTGAATACCTCTGCATGCCATTTGAAGACTTCCATGTTTATTGTGCTTGGCTGTTTAGCTCGTGATGCGCTAACGGATTTCAGTCACCTTACCACTTCAAATTACCTATCGCAGCCTCAACGCTAAAAGAGTGCTGGAAAGGCCTTTTTAGCCATTAAAAATGTCCAAAAAATTTCGGTTCGAGTTAAAAAAAA